ACTTTCGCGGAGCTTCGTTGGAAAGCAGTCGCCGCGCGTCAACAACCGCGGCTTGGGATCCCGTGCTCGGATCTGCGTTGACGGGGATTATCGGTTCGAAGGAACTGGTGCAGACAGCAAATTTGACAGGGGGCAATAGAAATAGATTTTTCGACAAAACAATTCGATTAGTTCCAAAGAGAAAACAGAAGACGATCTGTTGTGTAAATGCTCAATCTCACTGACTGGCGATACAGTGGCATGCTGCGCTCATCTGAATCAGCACTTTAAGGTACTTAAACTGATAGGACTATGACGGAAACAGAGAGGAATAATCGATATATAATTTAAATCAGCTAAAATAAACAAGCACATCACAAGAAAACAGATTGCCATCACGATTTTGACAAGGACTGAAAATTCCCGACAAAGGTGACTATTTATTTGAGAGGGTGCAAGGGGCCCCCTGCCCCCTTATCTACGCCACGAAAGCATTCCTATTATTTTGTATGCATTTCATAAACAAAGGTAAATGTTTAGTTTCAAAGGAAGTAAAAATTAAGTCATCCCTTTATAACATTCTCTATACGACGTAGTATCTCCCATTTTCTATAAGTCCACTGTAGCAACAGTCGGCCATTACAGGGAATCACTGAGGCAGATTAGAGGTACTTATCTGCAAATATTTGTATAATCAAGTAATGTCATGTATTATTATATAACAGATTTGAAATGTAAGTGTAGCAATTGTTTATGTTTAAAGAAGAAAAGGTTTTGTGTTTTAGAGCTCATAGATTATTAATCACAATCTTAACCTAACATTTACATGTAGCCTATCACTAACACGACGAATTCACCTTCATCCGGGTGTTAATAGGAGTAGTACTTTATTCCTTTTATCCTTTCTTACAGCTACAATATCAAGGACTATCAAGAATAAAATGTATGTTGGATTCTTGTTCCCCTGTGCATCTGCATCTGACTCAGTAGGAGCTGCATATCTTCCTTGATTTCGCTTCCCAAACAAAACTTTGCTGAACATCATTATTTACAGAATATAGTGCAAAATGAATTTGTATCCCTGATTCTGCTTGAAAGTCTACTTATTTCCTTGATATATCTGCGCCATTAGCAGTAGCGTGATCTATGCGATCATGTCGGGAGACCCCAAGCCGGCAAGAGTTTTCAGCACCCTCGCTGAAGGTCGCCTGTGTCGACCCTCCCATTCGATAACCGCACATGGTTTCCGACAGATATCCTACGACTTGGGCCTCAAATTTCGACAAACTAATAGAAGTACGATGTGAATACTTAAACTCATCCCACTAGTTTGTTGTATATTGATGTTTTGTCCATTGAAAATTTACATTATTTCTGTACAAGCATGAAGGTCGATGTCTTGGAACATGACACGTCTCTCGAAAATTTACGGATTCTTGTTTCATCGACTCGGAAGCGTTTTCTGCATTATACAAATTCGCAGGGGTGTCGCAGCTCTCCTTTCAATCTTTATTTGTGCTTCTTGTAAAACTTATATATATATATATATATATATATATATATATATATATATATATATATATATATATATATATATATATATATATAACATTTACTGAACTCTTAATTCCTTACAAATGTCATTGCACCAAAAATCGAAAGCTTACAATTCGAGTGGGGCCAATAAGTATAGAACTTGAGTAGGGACACACTTCAATTATAAAAACTGCGACCACAAAATTACAACTCAAGCACCAGCTTCAAACTTTTTCCCGAATTTTTACAAACCAATCAGCTCTGAATAACTGCATAAGTGTTTGAATTCGCTGCTTCCCAAAAAGTCGAATACTGAGTAAAAAAAAAATCCCTTTATAGGTACTTGATCACCTCCAGTTCCTATCTTCGCTTGCTTTTCTGTTTGTTTGTTTTTCACTCAATCTTTCTTTTTCTTTTCCTTTTTCTCCATGAGGTCGCCAGAAACAATGCCAAGACACCTTAATTTCCCCTCACACACAAGGCCAAACACAGTTATAGATTTTCGTTTTGCCTTTTGTATTACAATCAAGTGAGAACCTAGTCCTGCATTATAGGCACCTCTATTTTGGGGAGTACGGCAATATCCTCTTAGGAATGTCAAGTGGAAGTATATTTTACAAAAACAAATATTATTTATGGCAATTACTGAAATGATGTTACTCATTTACATTTTAAGTAGTATTAAAAACTTAAAATATTTTATAGGTCAAGGATCTTCAAACACTGGGCACTTGGTTTCCACAGCACCCACATATCACATTCCCTTGCCTGTGTGAGGCCATGCAGTATGCGTTTTTTATGAACTTGTACCCTGAATATTAGGAAATAGCTTTTTAGGTATACTTTCGTATTTAATTCGGCATTAAATATGACACAACATGTTTTTTATTATTTTTTTGACACGTGTCTTGTAAAGATTTAGGTTCATTCAATTTCTATTTTCCTTTGCTTGACGTTCTAAAAGTTTCAGTCAAATTAATAGTTC